CCCTGCCAGGGCAACGGGCTGGGCCGGGCCTGGGCCCGGAGCTCTCAGGGCTGCCCTTTCCCGGCTGTTGGACTTTTTCAACACCGCATGATAATTCATCTCTTTTTTAGATGGGAATAGCCAATGCAAATGCTTTATCAGAAATGTAAAAAAAAGTGAGGTTAAAATATGCCTTGCTTATGAATCCGTAATCTTTTAGAGGTGAAGCAGTTTGACCTGGAAGACTTGAGTGCTCATACGTATCGCTCAGGAAAACAGCTACTGAGGAATTCCCTTCATCTGTGATTTTCCCTGTAATTTATTTTGATTGTATACCATCACTGGACTGCCAGTCCCTTGCTGGGCTAAAACGGTGCTTTGGGAAGGAACTCCTTCTCTCTGCATGAAGCTGGCAGGTGCCTGCTTTGAGCCGGCAGCGCCTGCAGGAGAACGGCTTCATCTCCTGAACACCGTGGAAACAAATAGTTGAATGCTTCACTTTTCTGAAATGCAGGTTCCCCCCACTGTTTCTTTACATACCCGCAGCTGTCCAGCTGCTTATTCTTTCTATTTCTTTAACGCTTTCCTTCCTATCTGTTCTTTTTTGAGCAAAACATGTAATTTTTGGAAGCCTAGCTGTTCAGTCTTCAGGATCTGTTATCTCCAGTTGATTGATGCCATCCCTTATTTCCTTCTGTGCTCATGGGAATACAGGAGTGGCTGCGACCTTTCCCCTCACTGGTCCATTCTCCTGTTAGTGCACACAACGTCAGATAGTCTGGGTAATAAACTTATGACTGAGAAGTAATGTTACAATGTATTTTGTCAATGTCGTGGAAAAGCTTTTACTTAAAAAGTGTTGTTTTCTCATGCAAGTTTGTTTCCCTCATTCCTCTTAAATGAACTAGATAGCACACAACATGTCAAGTATTCACTCAGTTCCTTACAGCAGGTACCCAAAATAGCTCTCCAAAGCTCCACAGTAGCTTCTACTGAGAATGATTGTCTGCTTTGCAAACCATCTGGTAATGAAAGTGGATGTTTTCGCATAATCACTGCAATAATCACTTCAATTTTCGTCAGCAAAGGGTAATCTTGCTCTAATAAAACTCTGTCAAGAATAGTTTGTATGACTTCTTTTTATATAAAGGGTATAGAGAATTACGTCTATAATGTGTATGTATACAGATTGCAGAATATTATTTTCTTGCTCAAAAATACCTGATTGCACTGGAAATAGTGGCATTGAACAATCTGCCACCAAACACATTAGTAAACATGCTATTTATTATTAGTAGTATTAGCAGTATTATTAGTATTAGTAGTATTAATATTACATTTTCAGCAGGCTTGCCAACTAACATTAGAAATGCCAGTATTTTTCATATTTTCTGCGAAGACTAAAATATTTAGTCATGACAGTACAAGAAAGACATTGGGGTGCTTGAGTGTGTCTGGAGAAGGGCAACAAGGCTGGTGAGGGGGCTGGAGAACAAGTCTTATGAGGCTGAGGGAACTGGGATTGTTTAGCCTGGAGAAGAGAAGGCTGAGGGGAGACCTTATCGCTCTCTACAACTACCTGAAAGGAGGTTGTAACAAGGCGGAGGTTGATCTGTTCTCCCTAGTGGCGAGTGATAGGACAAGGGGAAAGGGTCTTAAGTTGAGCCAGGGGAAGTTCAGGTTGGATATTGGGAAAAAATTCTTACTGCAAGTGTGGTTAAGCATTGGAACAGGCTGCCCAGGGAAGTGGGAGTTACCATCCCCAGAGGTGTTAAAAAAATCTGTAGACAGAATCATGCAATCTCTTTGGCTGGAGGAGGCCTTTAAGATCATTGAGTTCAACCGTTAACCTAGCACTGCCAGGTCACCACTAAACCACATCCCTAAGCACCAGAACAACACATTATTTAAATACCTCCAGGGATATTGAAGCCACCACTGCCCTGGCAGCCTGTTCCAATGCTCAATGACTCTTTCAGTGAAGAACTTCTTCCTGATACCCAGCCTAAATCTTGTGGCACTTTGTGACATGGTTTAGTCGTCATGGTAGTGTTGGGCTGATAGTAGCAGACCAGTCTGTGTGAATGTGTGCAGCCATTCCAGGGCCACTAATAAGACTGAATGATTTCACAAAACCAAAACAAAGAAGAGATAAAAGAATACTTTTAATTAAAGCATGGTAGGAACAATTTGCTTTCACAGATCTCTATATATTTTTTCTTTTTACTTATTTTTCTTCAGAGTCTTTTTGAAAGAATTGCTAGCCTTTTCTTTTTTTTTGCATTAATAATAATAAAAATACATGTGCTAATTTGGTAAAAGCCTAGTTTTTTAATCGTACTTCACTATAGGTTGCTGCTTGTCAAAGAAAAGAAAATGCTGGTGCTTTTGTGGTGCAGTGGACTGCAAAGAAAGTAATAACATCTATCTCAAGGGTGATCACTGGTTCTCACAGAATTTCTTTACCTTCATTATACAGAGACTTTTCACTGTTTGAAAGATTGCCTGGCATTAAATATTACAACATGATAACTCTGAACCCAGGTCCCTGGTGGTTTTCAGCCACTGAAACTCTTTTGCTGGCTGCTAATGAGCTGAAAGTGCGTCAGAAATACCCAGGATTAAATTTCATTCCAACATAAACATTTAAAAGCATGAATTAGTTATGGCTTTGCCTCAAGCACCAAAAAAAAAGTAAAAAATATCTGCCCACTTTTAACATTTATCCTGTTTATTTCTGTGCTGAAGGAAGGATGTGATGGCACACTAGCTGGTTTACTCCCCCTGCACACACGCTATTGGTGATGTGAACATCTGGCATTAGGAAATAAAAGAGCATAAACCGCTCTGTCGCTTGACTACGTGAATCAATCTTCAGCCAGAGCTATGCTGAAAAGAGTGGATGCTGGATTAATTTCTGCAACAGTTGTGCCTCAATCTTCTGGAAGACTCAGCAGTTTTCATATGAATTTTTCAAAATATTTCAGGTGATGTGAGTGTGTTTCATAAATGGTGTTTACTGTGGCAGAGTGGGCTGAAGTTACTTGTTACTTGATGTCTTTTCTAGTAGATTTTATTTTTATTGTTTTTCCTACCAGATATCTATTTGGTATGGTGGAATAAAAGATTTTAATGATTGTATAAGGTGTTTGTAAGTCAGACGGCAGAAAATGACTAAAGGGAAATATGACAGCTAATGTTTCTTTCAGTCACTGAAGATCTTGTTAGAAGACGTGCAGAACACAACAACTGTGAAATTTTTTCACTGGAAGAAATCGCTTTACATCAGCAGGAGATAGAAAGACTAGAGCATCTTGACAAATGGTGTCGAGGTTTAAAAATTCTCTATCTTCAGAATAATCTAATTCCAAAAATTGGTAAGTGTTTTCTGGTTATCTTTCTTTTTAAATGGATTTACATGCATAATTTTGAAATCAGAAAAAAATCTGTGTTATGTCGTACTTTAAGGGAATGTAGACTGAGTAACTACAGAAAAGCTCTTTGTGGATCTACTCCTACAGAATTTCCTGTCTCCGTGTCTTCAGCAAATTTCTAAAGAAGCTAAGAAAATTTCAAGAGAAATTGTAAACGAAAAAGATAATACTGAGATACAAGTCACTTGATTATGAGTGTGGAACACTTTTTATTGATTAGAATCTCAAAAATCAAGATACTATTTAAATATCCTGGCTTTGTGGCAATCAGATACAGTTGGAGGTGTTAAAAAAATGTGTAAATATGGCACTTTGGGACATGGTTTAGCGGTCATGGTGGTGTGGGGTTGAAAGTTGACTTTATGATCTTGGAGGTCTTTTCCAACCTTTATGATTCTATCATTCTGTGATTTTATGATACCATGGACTGTTATCATAGGACCAACTCTTCTGGCTTATTTTTAAATTCAGTTTTTATACCAATGACATTTTTTGTTAACTTTGAGATAGTTTTCATTCAGATAAATTGATTGCTTTTGTGCATAAAGACAACTTTTTTTTGTGGCAAAGGCTCAATGGTCTTCCTTAACCACAGGAGAAGTTCTAACTTTGGTCAGTGTTTTGTGGTGTAAGTTCACATGTTTGCTAGGCTCTCTACAGAAAGATACAGTATTAAGCCTTGGACTGGAAAAGCTTAGACTCTACAGATAGTGTGTAGATGAGGAATAGAAAGTCAGAAATGCTTAGCAATTATATTAGCATATTTCTCTGAAGTTTCTTAAAAGGAAGAAAAGAATTGAAAGTTTTACAGTGAAACTCAGTGCTCAGGACTTGTAGGCAAAGACTTTAAATTCTCTGGAGGGGAAACTGTTGCTGTATTTCTAACATCTGCATTTCATACAGTGGAGGAATCTTTTTCCAGAGAGATTAAAGTTTTTGTTCCTCCTTTGTGCTGTTCTATCCCATCAAATGTGAGACTAAAATAAGATTTTTTTTCTCTGTTGCTGTGTCTCTAAGAAAGCACAAGATTCCATCTCATTCTTTTGTTGACACTCATAGCTCCTTTAGGTTAGTATGGTATATTTTTTCAGCAATCTCATTTTTGAGGCATTTGATTTTTGTCTTAACTTAATCTAACTGTAGGAGTTGGAAAAGTATGCAATTTCCTACTTTATATATTCTTGTATAATGTGACAGCTTTCCAAGATAATGCTGTAGTAACACATGAAAAACCACAAAACCCCACAAAAATAATGTTTAAGTACTGAACAGAAGAGTTGCCAATATGAGCTGTGTCACAAAGTGCTGAATTTGAGAAATAATTCTTCCCCAAGGATACTGACGTGTCTTGCAGAGCACGCAGCAGTTTCAAGCACACTTCATAGCCAAAAGGTTCGTATTGCCTCTGTTGGAATCACAGAATCAGAGAATGTTGGGGGTTGGAAGGGACCTGAAAAGATCATCCAGTCCAGCGCCCCTGTCAGAGGAGGATCACCTACAGTAGGTCACACAGGAACGTGTCCAGGCAGGTTCTGAATGTCTCCAGAGAAAGAGACTCCACAACCTCCCTGGGCAGCCTGTGCCAGGCCTCTGTCACCCTCACAGTGAAAAAGTTTTTCCTAATATTTTTGTGGAACCTCCTATGCTCCAGCTTACGCCCATTACTCCTTGTCCTGTCATTGAAGGCCGCTGAAAAGAGCCTGACTCCATCCTCCCAACACTCCCTCTTGACGTATTTATAAACATTAATGAGGTCACCCCTCAGCCTCCTCGTCTCCAAGCTAAAGAGACCCAGCTCCTTCAGCCTTTCCTCATCAGGGAGATGTTCTACTCCCTTCATCATCTTTGTGGCTCTGTGCTGGACTCTCTCCAGCAGTTCCCTGTCTCTCTTGAGCTGAGGGGCCCAGAACTGGACACAATATTCCAGATGTGGCCTCACCAGGGCAGAGTAGAGGGGCAGGAGGACCTCTCTCCACCTACTAGCTACCCCATTTTCTCCTCTTAAAGAAAACGTTTATGTAGCCCTCAGGATGAGACTTACCTGCTGACCAGACAGTAAGTTGTAAGGCATCCACTGTATGGGTGAGTCCTCATTCTTTTATTTTCTATAAATGGAATAAACACTACAAGATACCTCTGGTCTCAACACTTGTCTCTTTGTGTGTACAGGCACTGCCATTACAGAAATGCTGTAAGCCATCCTAAGTTGCACCAGTGAAATAACTTGTCTGTGTTTTGTTACAGAAAATGTGGGCAGACTAAAGAAGCTGGAATATTTAAATGTAGCTTTGAACAACATTGAAAGAATTGAAAATCTGGAAGGTCAGATTTTAAACAAATTGTTTTGCTTTTTCATATTGAAACACCTACGTTATAATTTAGTATAAAGGAGAGTGGAAGCCTTTAAGTATGTCCATGTGTAAAAGGTACTTGTTGATGCTCAGAAACAGCATTTTTGAGCACAGCATTTCAGCAAATGCTTCTTTATAGCAGGTGCTTCCTACTGCTGAAGTTTGTTGGGTTTTTTTAATGCTCTGCAGGCTGTAAAAGTCTCTTCCGTGTAACATTTTGTCATCAATTCAGCAATTAAGTGCCAGGTACGAGAAGGTTCTACTCTGTGCAGAGGTTGCATTGGCAGTGTGGGCTATTTTTAAAGAGTTTTTCAGATGATTCCTTTCTTTATTGTTACATGAAGTCTGTTATGTTTTATCTGTTAATTCTTTATCCTGTCACTATCATTTCATGTGCAAAGATGTAGAAATTTCCAAGATCAAAGTCAGAGCCTTAGAGTCACCCATAAACACATTCCATATTACTTGAATAATTTCTGACTTGATTGTGTTTCTTTCTTTGTTCTGAGTAGGCCAGCTGCTGAATCTTTAAAAGGTCCTCCTTCACAAGAGAAACACAAATAAAGAACCTGTGGTTTTTTATTTTGTTTTGTTTAGTATGAGTTTGGTTTTGGATTTTTTGAAGTCTACAAGCTAATTCAAGAAGATGACTTAAATCAAATAAAAAAAATAAGCAACTAGGCTCAGCATAAATTCGTAAAAGTTGAAGAAATAGCTAGTACATTGAGTATTTGGCAATTTGTTGAGAAAACCTGCATCTATTTTCATGCCAGTAAATTTCAAATTCCTCTATCAGGCTGCATTATTTATTACTGTGATTTGTCATTTACTTAGGAGTCAGAACCTTTGGGAGTGAGCCTTGCAAAAATTTGGGTTATTTAAATCCCCTAATAAATCATTTTGAGTTGTTTATTTTCTTTCAGCACCACTATGCATAAAACACTTGCCAAATAGACCTGCAAAGAGAAATAAGTGATTGTAATGATGAAAATCAGAGTTTAGCTTGGTCTTCACTAAACTTTTACTCTTGAGAGTCAAGGTTATGATTCATGGACAGATTATGATAAAAGGAGAGGCTGATAAAATTTGGATGCGGATTTCCCTGAGCACAATATTAGCTAATTGAGAGTTTCTGTTTATAATAAATTGATTTGTTTAACAAACATTTTCTCATTGGTATTTGCAATTCAACCAGTGATAAAGTAACACAATGATAGCTGAATCTATAGAGTGGAAAATCTTGTTTTGACTTGGAGAAAATTTTTATAAAACCTTATCTTTACACTTGAATAATGTCAGCTAGGATTAACAGTACACAGAAATGAAACCCATAGCTGATCCTGCTCTGCTGAAACAATTAGACACTTCTTTAGCCATATCATGAAAATTCAGTTAACGAGGGGTACCAAGGCAGTCAGATGGTTAAAACTGAAGTCCAGCTTATCCAAAAATGAAACATTTAATAACTCATCTAGTATACCAGCACTGACCAGAAAGCTTTAACAGTGATAAAACCAATAATAAGTTTTGATATTTTGTATTTTATTGAGGTTTTTTTTTCCTTTCTATGAATATTGTGACCACATAAACTTAAATTTGAATAATTCTTTCTCTTGTGGCTTGGAAAAGACCTATTCTGTATCCAAGAGTGTGCACATCTATTTGTGTGTGTGAGTATATGTCATGTGCATTTATGTTATGAACAAATTAAATTAATTTTTTTAAAACAGGCTGTGAAGAACTGAAGAAACTTGACCTGACAGCAAATTTCATTGGTGAACTCTCCAGTATTGAAGCCCTAAAACACAATACACATCTGAAGGAACTGTTTCTAGTGGGTAACCCATGTACTGAATTCGAAGGTTATAGACAATTTGTAGTGGCAACTCTTCATCAATTAAAAGTAAGATTAAAAAGATTAAATTTATATCCAAATCCATTATAGACATTGTCAACTGAACACACTAATCTCAAGCAAAATAAATACCTGTGGTAGGAAAGCTAGTAGCAATTTTCTTACTGTCCACAGGAAATTGAACTCTATCCTGAAGGATAAGTGACTACAGTAAATAATGTGATAATAAATAGGTTCCATTTTGAGTAACCCACATGCATTTTCTAAATTTTCTGTCATTTTTATTGGCAATCTTTAAAAAAAAAATTGACAAAACAAATACATTGTACACTTCTGTCTTTTTTCTCATTTGTTTTTATGTACACAGTGTATTTTTAAATTATTTTCATGAGTGCAGAAAGCCATGCTTTGGTACTATACTAACAATATGTAGCAAACTAAACTAGTGTAAGGCAATGGAAAGATAGAATTTGATGTAAAAATGTGCTATATTGCGACAGCTCTAAGGAGATGCTTTGAGATTGGGGTTTTGCGCGATGACTGAACTGGTGTAATGATTTCCTGTCACTGAAACAGGTAGTCCCAGTCCTGAAACATGCTCCCAAAGTTTCCCTAGGAGAAGCGCAGGTGCTTGTGTTACTATAGATTTAAGTGTCTTGGTTGGCAATAAACTAACACATTAAAAGAAATATTTTTGTAATAGCTCCGCGAGCTGGATCAAGGTGAGACAAATATCAGAAATGACTGAAGGGACTCTTTCTACTACATGGTCTAATAAAACCAACTGAAATTCCTTGAAAATGCGAAAATGCAGCTCTCAGACACACAAAACCATTTTCAGCTCTGAATAGCATCTTATTGTTAATTCTTTTCAGTACAGTAAAACTACAGTGCATTGGAGGTTTGAAAGGTGTATTTTTAATTTCATACAGAAAGTAATCTATCAGAAGTAACATACAGTTTAATGGATTTATTTATCTGAATATGTTTAAAATTTCTCACACATCTATATTGATTTTTTTTTTCCCATTGGGAAGTGTTTGGACAGTAAAGAAATTGAACGTTCAGAGAGGATTCAAGCCCTTCAAGACTATCCAGAAGTCAAACAGAAAATCAGAGAACAAGAGCAAGCTTACCTTCTCAAAAGGGCCAGAGAAAAAGAAGAAGCTCAAAGAAGGATGCAAGAAAGAAAGGACAAGAAACAAAAACCAACGGGATCTAAGCTTGGTTTTGACAGGTAACAGTGAGCAACAACAGTTTGTGAGTAAATGTTAGTTTATGTGCTCTCTCTTCATGAAGAATTTGGTCTTACTCATTAAATATTAAGTTCCTCTTAAATCATTTTGTTTGTCTTTATGTTGGTTCTACCAGAATTATTTCTCCTCATACATGTTATCTCTAATGAAAAATATAATTAGAAACATAACTAATTACTGACCTGCAGACAGTACAATGGAATTTTTGTCCCAAAACTCCAGTCTAAATTGTCTATGTGTCAAAATAGTGTAATTGATAACTTCTTTCAGGAGAAATCATTATTTAAGGTAATACAAGGGTCCCAGAGAAAGCAGCTGTTCACCTATAATTTCTTTTACTTTGGAGTTATTAGGTGTGAAGACTGAAATGGGATATTGCAGATCATTTGAGATATAAAAGGCTATGGAACACTGATTTCTATACTTCTTCCACGTAATATCACTGAGATCACCTAGATAGCAGAAGGATTTTTGTCTCGGGTTGCCTTCCACTGCAGTTACCATCCATCTTGTTTTTAATCCAATAGAGACTAAGTTCCATAGAGCTGGCTATGGAACTTTGTCCTCATAGATCACAGCTGTATCATAAATTTAGTTTTCTCTCTATACTGATGGAGAATTTCTGAAGGTTACAGAGGCTTAGGGCTAGGGGGAAAACTTACTCAGGTTCTAAGAAGGCAGTTGAGGAGATGCCTGAGTAAAATGAATTTTTAATCTGCTACTGCCCGATATTGGGAATAATTAAACATCACACAGACTGAAGGTTTTCTTTCACCTGAGAATTGTGAGGATATCTGAAAATTCTGCTTCTGGAATTAAATCTGTTGAGCTGTCTGTCAGAGTTTTCAGAGAGTTATGCGTAACCATAGTATCACTTCTTAATTAAGCTTAGTTAAGCCAACGAAAAACATTATGTCACAATGCATTTTATTGACTAATGAAAGAAGCAGAACAGAGAATGTTATCCAAATATCTAAGGTACTGTTATTGGTAGGAATTACAGAGTGGTTAGTATCGAGTTAAAAAATATTATTGCAAGAATTCATTAGCAAGTACTGCTATTCTTCCCTATTTTCATTGGGATATATTCCCTGTGATCTGGTGTAGCCCGGACTCTGTGCAGGACAAAGAAAACCATCAGGCTGAAGGAGATGGAGAAGACGAAACACAGAGAACGACTGAAGATGATGAAGATGACAGAAGATTTTGGGAGGAACCTACGCCATATACTCCAGAATCTAGATTAGAAACTCACAGATATATTGAAGAAAAAAGGAGAGCTAAAGAGAATAGAAGGTATGTTTTGGTTTTAATATATTGTGTGAACTGGAGAAGAGGAAATTTTTCAAAGGTACAGTGAAGAAGTAGGTGACTGCCTCACATTAAATGATACTGAGAACTGATAGCTGAAATGCCTGTTGTCTGTGCAAATATATTTTAATTTAAATGGAATATTTAGATTGTTCATTTTGTTTGGTTTCATCTTCTAAAATTTATTTATGATACCCTCAAATGGATTTTTTGAATAAAATTTCTCTTTTCAATTCCATTTTATGGACCTCAGAAGTTTTACTTTTCTTTCAGCTAACTAACATGTTTCATGTAGTTCATTGTTTAATATTCTTACTAAAAGCAAGTGTGCAGACTGCATTATATAAAGCCCTGCGGGCCATCCTACAAAATTTTTGCACACGTGACATTTCAGGCACCTTTTCTATGTGACTTAGAATTTCTTTCACATTCTTTATTGAAGATATTCATCCTAAGTAATAACATGCTTCATACTATCTATGGTATTTGGCCTCATGAATCTGAAGATGTCTGGCCCCTAAAAAACCTTTAAAACTTTCTAAAGTTGTCCCTGGTTTTGCTGAACATGGAAAATTAATGCAGATACTAGCAAAGAAGAAGTTATTTTATTGTTGCTGGCTTATCAGTTCCACAAACATTGTAAGCAATGTCTTTATTTTTCCTTTTTTTTTTTTTCACTTATATAACAGCATTTGTGCCAGAGATTTTTCTAGCTGTTCTTTTTAAGGGCATGCTTTAAAAAGATTTATCAAGCTTAGGTATTGAAAAAATCAGTCTTAGGGAGCTCTCCAAGAAATCTGGAAATCTGCATAACTTCTTGCTATTATTAATTCAAGGTCTAGCACTTTCCCAGAAGAAATACTGTGAAACCCAGACTCTAGCTAGTTAGAATTTTGCTGTATTTGCGGATACCTTGCTCTAGTCAGAAGAAAATGTCTTCAAAATGTCTCCTGAATATTCAGGGAGTGTCCAAAGAGTGTTACAACAAAAATAATTCCTTTCTGGATTTTTCTATATTCCCTGGAAGTGTTGGATGGGGCCTTGAGCAGCTTATCAGTGGGAGGTGTCTCTGCACATGGCAGGGGCGTTGGAACTAGGTGATCATTTAAGGTTCCTTCCAACCCAAACCATTCTATGTTTTAAAGCAGTTAAAAATTCTCTCATGGTTCATTTCATTTCAGCGGTGAGATTTTTGTTAAGTAGCATGAGAAAGGTAAGAAAAGTGTCCCTGACAACTTCAAATCAACCTTGCTGGTGGACAGGAGCTGAAATGTAGCTTTAATACAAGTTGCCTAGTGTAAAAGAATGTTTATTTTAGTATAAATTTGACATGAACTCAATCAGACCAATGCTAAATTTGAACCTATCCATGACATGTTAGCATGTGTTGCATTTGCCAGCTGTAGTATAGCTGTACAGTTGTTAATAAATTGAGCATCTTTGGCTATTGCCAAATAAGTGAATACTTGCAATGTCATTCAAAGAAAATTCAGACAAGTGTAAAATCAATTGCTGCTGAGAGATGCACAGGATCCATTAGTTGCTCATTGCCAGAACGAAGCCTTTCAGCTCATCTCAGCTCAAAGTTAAACAAGTTGTCTTAAAATCTTGGCGATTATGATGTGACTGAATTTGCCTTAAAATGGTTCACAGGAGCAGAGAGAATCTCGAAAGAGATTATTAACAGCTAAAAGGTAGTGAGATATAATTTCCTGAAGTATTTCAGAGAATCTTTAGAACAGAGTGGTGATTCATTCACTTTGCATTTAAGTGTCAGGAGTAGGGATTCAGGTGTAGAGACTGTACACCCACAAATCTCACATTAAAGCTCTTATTTATACTATAGAAGAGTATTTAACACATGGGTAGTTGTGACTCTTTCTTAAACAGCAGTTTTTATTTAGTTATTTCACTAACTCCACTAGAATGTTTTTATTTCTTCTTCAAATATACTGTATTTATAGACAAAAAATATTTTTTTTACATGCTTTTTTTTTCCCCAAGTTGACCTAAATCGTAGAATCTTAGAATCATGGAATCATGGAATCAGAGAATCATAAAATGTTCGGGGTTGGAAGGGACGTCTAGAGACCATTTATTCCAACCCTCCTGCCAGAGCAGGATTCCCTA